AGGCTTCCAAATTCTCTCATGTGATGCAGGTCGTAACCATACGAGCTTCAACAATGGACACAAGATTTCTCCTGATGAGAGAGAAAAAGCTTGCAAGCTCCAAAATAGCAAAAAACAAACAAGTGTGTAAAGATTTGGTGTCCATAAATACTGTATATAAAAAATTTTTTTTTTTAAATAAAAAAAATCTGGCTAGATTTTGTTGTGACTCTAGTTATTGATATAATAAATAGTCATGTTGCGTAGATTATGATCTAGTCAGCTAGCTAGTATTTAAAAGCAACCATCATTGATCCCATTTAAATCACCATTAGACAAAACAAAGAAACCTTGGACTGCATAGAGTTTGCAAATCAGAAAGGGGAAATGACAGAACCTGCATCTACACAAAATCTGAACCACATCGGTAGATATGGAACATATAACATTTTTTTCCTTATATACGCTTTGTTGGAAATTCTTCTTATTGTCAGTAGGTCTTAGTGAAGCATGACAGATCCCCACTTACAAGGTGATCACCAGTAACCAAGAGGATTTCTCAAACCATCAGAGTCATCTGAACAGAAGAGAAGTGGTGAAGCAAAACTGCTCCGCAAGCAACATGCAATTTCATTTTCAAACACAGAATGTAATAGAGAGGCCAAAGTTCTGGAGTTTTTCAAGAATTTCTACGGCAAGTCACACCTGAATCTTAGGAGTGAGATTCCAGAAGAAAACAGAGTTTCCATTGATTAGAGGGAACATGTGGCCAATAAGAAGCCCTCCTTCTCCACAGAGCCTGTTGTTGTCTTATCAGATGGCAAAAGACATTTGTTCCTACAGAAATCCAATCACACTGAAGTGAACCTTTCCCACAGTGACGTGGAAAGGGGATTTAGAATGCCATTCTGTCTTCTCTCCACTTCACAAAGCAGAGACATCAAAAACAAAGAACATGAATGTGGAATGGTCCTACAAGTCCCTAGGAGTTCACCATCACTCAAGAGTAAACAAGACATACAACACATCGGCGTTGTTCAGGAAAGGCTAAGTCTCCAGTTCCAGCCCAGAGTTCCTACCCCATCCCAGATATTCACGACAGGACCAGAACAGCAAGATTAAACGGAGTGACAGAGGAAGATTCAAGATTAATTCATGGTTATTTAACCACAGCAGAGCTATGAGGGACTTGTATCAAATTGAATTAGATTCATCAGGACAACTGAATGCCACTCAGGTGAGGGGTGGCTATATAATCATGAATCATTAGATGCTAAGTGAGCTGATGACATGTGGAAAATGATCCTGACCTTAAGGTGGTTCAGTAACCCTACTACCAGTGCTGGATTCGATTAGTTCTTCACTGTATTAGACAGAAAATGAACCACAGCAAAGTTGCTGCAAAAAATCTATTTTGACAGTTGGCTGTTAACCTTTACCAGAAGACATATGGTAAACGATTACTGAATTGAATTTTGTTATGAATAGCTGCAGAGGGCGCTTTACATAGAGGACGAATCATCCAAAGATATTTTAATTCAGAAGATTAACTCAATTATAAAATATAAAACAAAAGCAATTTAATCTCACATTTTGTTTTTCCCAGCACAAGTGTCTGAACAAAGAAATGTGGATGCCCACAGGCCCAGAAAGGGTTACAAAACCTTTGATAAAGTCTTCAGCATGCATAAATCAATGTTCAGGCTGTGAACACAATGACTCTCAGTAAAATGTGTTTTAGAAGAATCTGGATATTATTATCTGACCTGAAGCAAGGAGTTTATTCAAGACTGTTAAAAATAAATTTAAAAAATCAATGAAATGAAGCTGTTCTATAAGGGAAAATAGACCAAAATACCTTCAAGTCAATTGCTGCCAAAAGAGAAGCCGACATTCAAAAAAACTGGTGAATGCAGGATCGAAGTGTTCAATATCACATGACATTTTAAGTGTTATTTCATTAGATCTTCTTTATCTGTTTGTCTGATGTCTAGGATACATTTTAAGCAAAAATAACTTGAATAAATTCGAAATACTTTCTTACTAGTGAAATAGTTTTTTATGGTCAGTTAACAGTTTTTATGGGCGGAGCTTAGGTGGAGGCAGAAAGATTCCTCTGACTGCTTCACTAATGCTAGCTTGCAAGTTTTGTTTGCTTGTTTTTTAACAATGACTGGAGAAAATGTGATTTTATCTGAATATGTAATGTCACTCACTGTCCGGGATCATGATTGTTATTTGAAAATGTTAACTTTAACGGAAGGCACCAGATTGGCCGACGTGTACACACTCACTCAATGGATGGACGATCTGAGAGCAGTGGCCTGACACACTTACAGGTAGAGAAACCGAGTGCATATAGTAAATAGAAAAGCAAAAAAACTTGAATAAATTCGAAATACTTTCTTACTAGTGAAATAGTTTTTTATGGTCAGTTAAACAGTTTTTATGGGCGGAGCTTAGGTGGAGGTAGAAAGATTCCTCTGACTGCTTCACTAATGCTAGCTTGCAAGTTTTGTTTGCTTGTTTTTTAACAATGACTGGAGAAAATGTGATTTTATCTGAATATGTAATGTCACTCACTGTCCGGGATCATGATTGTTATTTGAAAATGTTAACTTTAACGGAAGGAACCAGATTGGCCGACTCGTACACACTCACTCAATGGATGGACGATCTGAGAGCAGTGGCCTGACACACTTACAGGTAGTGAAACCGAGTGCATATAGTAAATAGAAACTGAGGGCATGCCTATAGACCAATTTGGTGTTTGCAAACAGTGGTGACGTTTTTTTGCGGGCGGAGCCTATCTGGTGGCAGAAAATGACCGTTTTAAAGTAGCGGTCTATGGAAGCCATGGAATAAAAAAGGTAATTTTGAGTTTGTATTTCAAAATTCTGACTTTTTTCTCGGAATTCCGAGATTATATTTCACAATTCTGACAAAAAAATTTAAAAAATTAAAAAAACCTCATTATTCTCTATTTTCCCCTCGGCTCAGAATCGTGAGTTTATATCCCACACTTCTGGCTTTTTTTCCCCTCAGAATTGACAAAATTGCAATTGTTGCGTTAAATTAAGTTATAAAGTCCGAACTAGGAGATATAAACTTGCATTTGCGAGAAAAAAAGTCAGAATTGTGAGATAAAATAGGCAAAAGTTATAGGTTTAAATAGTAGGCTATTTCATGCTGTAACTGCAGAGCTAATACAATATGTCCCCTATGAACTGCATATGTGAATATTATATAGACCTATTGTTTAAATCAAATTTATGCTTTAAAAGTAGAG